CCCAAAACCCCAAAACCCCAAAACCCCATGATAGTCAATAGCTCTTTAAATTCAATCATCTGCTATTTGAGAAAAGAAATATTAAAACAAAATAATAAGATTATATAAAGCTTATTCTTAAGAGTTTAGACTTTGTTTCTATTGACGAGCTCACAAAAACACAACATTTTTATCTTGATCGAAATAAATTACATCTAGGTTCTTATAGAATGTGAGCACATCCATTAATTCTTCTTCTGTTATTTTCATCGAGGAATGATACGATTTTTCTAGCTTCTTTTGAATCTCGTTTGACTTTAGTGAGGACTCTCCTGAGTTCATCATGATGTCACGAACTGCCTAAATCACTTGAGACATTCTGTCAGTCATTCTTTCATCTCTCACTATAAAAATTATTATCAACAAATGAATTTGACTTACTTATCTTTTTCTTTTCTTACGATGACTCAGCTTTCATGTTTCTTAGAGATCTGATTGAGAAGTCCATGAGCTTAATAGCCTCATCAACATCACCTTGGTTTACAATATCTCTGAAGCAAAGTTTAGCCATTGCCTAAGCAAGTCTGATAATTGCTAATAATGTTCTTGGGGTAACGTACATATATGATTACTCATCAATACCCTCTCTTTGAATCTTTCTCTTTTCTACATATTTAGCAACAATATAGTTATGTAGATCGGCTGGGATGATTGGATTATAATCTTAGGCTTTAGCAATGAAAGTTCTCATGATTTCAGCATCTATAATTAAGGTATCGTCTCTAACTGGAGCTTTCAAAGTTCTGTGAACAGTAGCAACGTGACGAGCCAGGTTCTGATCATTGATCTCATTAATTTGATCAAGTAATAGGAAAAGTAGATCAAATCTTGACAAAAGGGCAGCTGGAAGGTTAATGTTCTCATGAGGCTTGAGCTTCTGGTTGTATCTTCCATATAAGGGATTTGCAGCTGCTAAAATTGAAGTTCTAGCATTGAGAGAAGTCGTAATTCCAGCCTTGGCAATACTGACTGTTTACTGTTCCATGACTTCGTGAATATTTGTTCTGTCTCTTTCGTCCATCTTGTCAAACTCATCAATACAGCAGATACCTGTATCTGATAGTACAAGAGCTCCTCCTTCAAGTACAAGTTCTTTAGTAATGTTATCTCTGGTGACTGCAGCTGTGAGACCAACTCCTGATGAACCCTTACCAGTTGTATAGATTCCTCTGGGAGCGAAAGTAGCAATATGCTTCAATAGTTGAGATTTGGCTACTCCTGGGTCTCCCATCAATAGTACATTGATAGTACCTCTAATTTTCATACCGTCAACCATTTCCTTAGTCACACCACCGACCATAAGTAAGAGTAAAGCTCTTTTGACTTCCTCCATAGCAAAGATTTCTGGGCAAATGGATGAGGAAAGTCTTGAGTATAGTTAAAAGTCTGATTCACATGAGCTTCTCAAATTATCGACTTTTTCCAGATTTTCTTATGATAAGAAACTCTCCTTGAAATTCTGCTTATCTTTGGAAACGTTGAAAGCCTCAATGTAAGTATCATGAGATAATCCAGCTCTCATTGCTGCAAATCCTGTGAAAGGTGCTGGCATATAAACTCCAGTAATAGTGACAATATCTCCAGGTCCACACTTTCTAGTGTTAAGCCCTTTTGCAATACATTTCATTGTTCTTGGCACATGACCAATTGGAACCTATTCACTTGGTTCCTGGAGTTTGATTTCTTAGAAACTCACGAATTTTGAACTCTTGATTTGCATAATAAGTTGACCTTTAGTTTAGTTAGTCATGCATTTTCTACTTGGGCATTCTACCTTTGGTGTGAATTCTCTTGTATTAACAATTTGATAGACTTCAAAACCGCAAACCTCACAAGCATATACTGCAACTTATATGCATGGTCTCACATCTGATACTCTGGTAACAATACCTTTACAAGTAACTAATGAACCAATTTAATTTGACCTAATATCTCTCATTCTTTGAATAATCTTTTTAGCATTCATTCCATGCACAAAGAAGACTTGATAGGTCCTTTCAAGCTCTGGTGGTAATATCATTTTTGAGTCTGTTGGCATATTATTTTCACCTGAACCATTCAATTGATTTTAACTCATCAGATACTGCTGATAGTTGAATTTTCTTTGTTGCATGATTATTTCAAAGGTTGACATCTGATCCTCTCTAAAGTTCACACTTGGAAGTGGCATATTTTTATCAATTGCTTGAGAGAATAGGGTGACATATCTCATTGTGTTGTTTCTCACTCTGTCAACGAATAGACTATCTCTGGCAGTACTATATTTAAATTAATCTCCAAACATAAATATAAGTCAAAGTCTTACTTGAAGAATTCACTCAAGTCATCTATTTCGATGTTGATAAAGTTTGACTCCTTATTGACTATTTTTTGCTATGAATTGGGTAAATAAGACTAATTTAAAAGATTATGATTCTTACCAACTGAATCATATACTTGTGTTTTCCATGAATTGGGTCTTCTTGAATTGTGGGATCAGTGTAACCGAGGATGAAATCAGTGCACATTTCTAAAAAAGATCAATTAGTTGGAATATGCTTACTTCTCTCGCCATCATAGTCTGGCATGTAAAGCTCTTTGGGTAAGTTTAGGATCATCTCTTTTTCCGCAATTTCTCAATTAATTAATTTTCAATCTACCGCTGAATTAATAAACTAATCACTTTCAACATAGAAACTAATTTGCTTTGGTGGGGTTTTGGGGTTTTGGGGTTTTGGGGTTTTGGGGAAAAAGAGATGATCCTAA